AAACGATAATTTACAAGGCGTCTTAGCACGGTGCATAGGCAACTGGCTGAGTCAGTGGGATCGTCGGTTCGAATCCTACTGAAAGAAGTCTGATGAGGAAATGTGGTGATTTCCGAAATAGCTATCACTTCTACCATTTTTTCAAATTATTGTTGCTTTTCCACAATAAATTTTCATTTAAAAAATGGCCTCGAGCTCATTATAAAATTGTTGAATATAATTGTTAAAAAGGCCAAAAAAATAACAAAAAACAAATTTTTAAGCGAATCTAATCGATTTAAATTTCTTTGTCGCCATATTGGGTTCGCCATTTTGAATTTTTCCATTCTGGCTTCAGATTCTTAATCATCTACACCAAAAATCCAGAAAGTGATTACCGTGTACCAATTTTTCGCACTTTTTGCTAATTATTTACAATCATTTTTTTTTTTTTTACCTTACATATAAAAAATGTGGGAAATTAAATTCTCTATAAATCTGTATTTATCTTATTTTCGAAAAATGCAAAATAACTCGCAAATCGCAAAAACCCAAAACTTAAAATCCAAGATGACGGAAAGTTCCCATACGAAATTTAGGGGCAAGGCTGTGGATCTACGATCTACGTGTCAAGTAGAAGTAAACTGCATCAAAAATTCCCTACTACTAATTTTTTGTTTTCGTTAATAGAAGGATATGATAAGGCATTTCTTTATAAGCCTTTCTCCACTGTATGTGGTTATATTGTAAACGGTCATTGAACTAAAATTTCTCGTCTGGGTACTTTCCAGTACAAGTAGAATCGAGTATTTCCTAGCGATACTTTAGGTAGCATCGCGTATTCTATTCGATACTTTTAGTGTTACAGGCATCGAGTACATGGTGGTATCGGACGAACACTAGGTTGAGCATATTGGACATTTCCATTAATTGTAATTTAGAAATATAGCACCGTGTGACAAAAAAAAAATTTCAAAACATACGAAACAATTAATATACGACACAATGGATCAAATATAGTAAGCTGCGTTTTTAGTTTTTCACTTTGACGTCAGGATTTTTTTTAAAGAACTTTGAAATATTAAAGATATGATTAATTCAAAACATTATTTAAAAAAATCAGTGGAATCAAGGCACATTAAACAGGTAGTATCAGTAGAGCAAAAACAACATTTGCGTGTATTTTGTTGTTGCTTCTGGTATCGAAAGTGTCAAAAACTGTTCTGAATTTTTTCTTCTAAATCAAAGCGTGCCATGTGAAATACAAAAAATTATAAAAAATAAAAAATTGAAATTGGAAAAAATAAAAATTGATGCAACTTTCTTTCCTAGTAAATTTGTTTGCTTCTCGAAGCATTGATCCATCCTTTGCAAGGCCCAGTAATCAGCGGTCGTGCTGCTGAGTTGGGCGAACGTTCCAAAAGCTGCTATTCAATCGCTTGTTTTGTATGCACACAAATGGATTTTAACAATTCAGAATTTTTGTGAGAAAAAATTAAAAATATTTGACATTTTTGAGACCAAATAATTTGAAAATAAATCAAATCAGCTGCTCTACTGATACTACCTGTTCAATGTACCTTGAGTGGAATGTACAATAACAATATGGATACCAAATGAAAGAGAAAATGCAGTAGAATTGTAAAACATTAAAGACTTTTGGTTTACAAGGACGTATAAGTATTGAAAATGCGTTTTTAATTGATTTTATTTTTTTTTAAGTTAATAAAGTTTGGAGGACGAAATTGGAGGAAGTGGTCGTTTGTAAATTAGTCCTTAATATATATTTTTTTCAAAAATAAATACTGCAAATTTTCAACGATAAAATTTTAAAAGGAAAATTTCCAAACCCATTCGTTCTAATGACCCAAAAAAATTTAATAGTTTTTTAGTTCTACAGGATTTTCTCTTTTATTTGATACCTACATTGCACTGCAATTTTTTAATAAATTTTTGAATTAATCATATTATTGAAAAATTAAAAAGGCAGTTTTAGTATATTTTGCCCATATTTTCGCGAATATATTAATTTTTGTGTGTGTAAAATTTACTGTCGCACGGTGCAATAGTCGGATGCTTTGAGTTAATGCATTTCTGAACACAGGGTTCGTTTCTTATATTCCTTGCTTGTTATGATCAAATTTCAATTCTCCACGCAGCACGCACAATGAGTATGTACATTAAGGACCAGTTTTCAATGCCAGTAGACTGACATTTTATTGGCCAATCTTAGTTTAAACTAGCCAGCTCGAGCGTTTAAACTTAGTTTAAAGCTGAAATTAGTCAAGAACGTAAAAATACCGGTACGTAAACCCGAGTCAGCTGACACGATCTGTCTTACCAAAGCGCCATGTAAATGAAAACTCAACACCGCAGAATTTTTCTGTAGTTGTAGCCCGTAACGCAGAAATCTGCGGAATTTAGATTTTTCCGTGTCAGCTGATTTCTCCTTGTAGATGGTAAAAAAGATATAAGTTCCTATTCAAAATATGTTCCAAATATTTGAAATTTACTATTGAATAAGGTTTTTGTTGAAAACTAAGTAGTTTATATTTAGCTAAAATCTATTATAGCACGATAAATTGTAGTTGAAAGGGTAAGTTTATGAAAAGGCATTGATGAGTGGCAACAGTGTAGTAAGCAACACTGAGGGCTCCAGTAATCGACAAAATTATGCGTATACAGACTGCGTTTAAGTATACGTTCTGCGTTCTCGACTAATTTCGGCTTAAACCACACTGCCGTGCACTGAAAAACTGGCCCTAACAACACTCTATGCGTTGCACTATAGATTCAACACAATTATTTCATACATACATACCATTGTTCTGCCGATTCGGTGGCGGATCCGGCAGCCTCTGCCCGGTCGTTTGATTGTTGCCCATTTTCTACTTCCTGCACAAATAATTGTACATACTTCAAATAGAACGAAAAAGCCACACGTCAGAGCCTGTGTATCTTACCGGCTGCGGATCGACCATTGTCCATACTTACCAGCGAAAAATTTATCAGATAATCAGATCCAAAAACACGGCACCTGATTTCAATTTCTACACGATTACACTCAATATCTACAAAAAACTTTAAACGTACTCTGAAAAAAACCAAAAGGTATATTAAATGTATGAGTTATTGACTAAAACTAGGCAGAAGAAAAATTTTCACTTGCAAATATGCACAACGGGATCGACTGGGCGACTGCAATTGGTTGATATAATACATACAGTCACTCACAGAAGTGTTCGTACTTTACTTTTTCACAATATTCAAAATGTTTTCCATCATAAATCTTTTTCGTTAATTTTTTATTTAAAATATGCCGCATTCTGTGGCCGCTGTAGTGTAGTGGTAAGCAGAGCGCGCTTCCACTCCACAGCACCTGGGTTCAAGCCCAGGTCAAAGAAACATCGCAAAAAAATATAGAAAAAAGGTTTTCTCTTAACAGCGGTCGTCCCTCGGTCGGCGTAAAACTTTAGGTCCCTCCGCTTTGTGTGACAACATCAAGGCGCACGCCACAAATCGGAGGAGAAGCTCGGCCAAACACTAACATATGTGTAAGCGCCAATCTATTATTATTGTTATTATAAATCTTGCAAACTTTGTACAAAATTCATAAAAACTAATCAAACTTCAAAAAAGTTTCATCAAACTCATTCAAACTTTTTAATCCGATAGAATTTCCTTTGTCCAGGGTGTTGCGCATTTCTTTTCAAATAACGCATGAACAAATCCAAGGCGA